ATGGTATTTACACTTAATATAGAAAAAGAAGAAAGGTCTGTAAAATAATACAGTACATTTCTGTTTTTTTGGATGTCTGCTCACCACCTCAAGCTCAACCTTGACAAGACTGAACTGCTTTTCCTTCCGGGAAAAGATTGTCCCACTCTTGACCTAACAATCAACATCAGCCCCTCTGTTGTTTCCCCGACTCAGACTGCAAGGAATCTGGGTGTGACCCTAGATAACAAACTGTCCTTCACTGCAAACATCGCTGCTACAACCCGCTGCTGCAGATACACTGCTTTACAACATCAGGAGGATACGTCCCCAGCTGACCCAGAAAGCGACGCAGGTTCTGGTCCAGGCTCTCGTCATCTCACGCCTAGACTACTGCAACTCCCTCCTGGCTGGTCTACCTGCATGTGCCATCCGACCTCTGCAGCTCATCCAGAATGCAGCGGCTCGTCTGGTCTTCAACCTTCCTACATGTTCCCACACCACGCCGCTCCTCCGCTCCCTTCACTGGCTTCCAGTAACAGCTAGAATCCACTTCAAGTCAATGGTACTTGCGCACCATGCTGCGAATGGATCTGGTCCTTCCTACATCCAGGACATGGTTAAACCGTACACCCCAGCGCGTGTACTTCGCTCTGCATCGGCCAAACAGCTCGCTGCACCCGCACTGCGAGGGGGACCCAAGTTCCCATCAGCAAAAACACGTGGGTTTGCTATCCTGGCTCCAAAATGGTGGAATGAGCTCCCCATTGAAATCAGGACAGCAGAAAGCTTACAAATCTTCCGGCGCAGACTGAAAACTCATCTCTTTAAACTCCACTTCGAGAGATAGAATTACTAACAAAGAACTTCTAACAAAGCACTTATATAGTAATAAAGGACTGGCTTATCTAAAGCCAGTTGAGNGTGTGCCTTGGAATTACTAACAAAGCACTTATATACTAATAAAGGACTGGCTTATCTAAAGCCAGTTGAGTAGCACTTGAAATGTTTGGCTCTATGAAACCTGATGTACTTATAAGATTCTGTTTTCTTCAAGGTTGTATCTTCCTGGTCGAATGTACTTATTGTAAGTCGCTTTGGATAAAAGTGTCAGCTAAATGCAATGTAATCTTTTCTTTAGCTCAATGCAATCGCTCACTCTGCATTTCCTAGTTAATAGGGTGAACTGTCAAAGTTCTCGACAAATATATATACAAATAAAGAGTGAATAGAAATATTCACAGTTATAACAAAGTTAAACGCCTGTTACAAAACAAATAAACCAAGTATGGCAGTGTGGATATTTGTTTTATTGTATACACTAATTCCCTATTAAGCATATATACATCTTTGAAACAGGCTTTTTAAAAAAAAATTATTTGAACATATTTCAATTTCTTGTCAGCTTTAATTCACGGGAATTTCATTAGGATCACTGTAGATGTTGATTTTGTTCTGTATTTATTTGAATATTATTGTTATGTTTTCTGTAAAGCACTTTGGGCTGCTTTGTGCATGAAAGGTGCTATACAAATAAAGTGTATTATTATTATTATTATTATTATATTAACAACCACATCTTGTTTGATTAGTTGAACAAACTATAAGAGAGAAAATTAGTGAAAGCAGATGATGGTGTTGCTCCTCCTGATGGATCCTTTGCACATGTCGATGGCGACCTTTTCAAAATGGTAGAAACATGAACCAAACAGCCTCGGGGAACATTTCACTGTTTGGATGTGAGAAAATCAGCGTGATGTGATTGATTGATGTTTTCTATGCAATTACAAACTGAGAGGGACACAGATTAAAGCCGTTCATGGGGTCTTTTGTTGATGCCATTCCAAATATCAAATCCTGTGTTACAGATTACAGTTATTCCTTTGAAGTGACAGAACAGGTGTTTCCTGATGAAAAGGGAGATTAATTGGTTGGTGGTGCTTAAGAAGTCCTCATTAAGGAAGACGCTGTGATATTAATTGGTGCATCATTTGTCCGTGAAATGCTCAGTATTTACCCTGTCAGTCATCGTGTGAAATTGTTTTGCACTAGGAAAAATACATCTAATATCACCTTTGTTGTGGAAAATGCAAAACTGTTGCTCAATATTAAATTAGGATTTCTAACTTTTTGACAAGGTTAGTTTGTGGTTAGTATAGTATGTCGAAAAAACGCAAAAAATAACAATATAGTATGTCAAATATCAGACAAAAATGTCATAGTATAGTACGTCGAAACTATTTATAACAATAATAACTGTCGTCTTTTTGCATATATTCGACAAACTATACCATGTGTTTTTTTTGCATATTTTCAACATAGCCTACTATGTGGGGTTTTTTCATGTATTTTTCGACATGTCGTTTTTGTTGTCGAAAATATTTGAAAAAAACACAAATCATACTGTATATTTCATTATTAGTTAATACATTCTAGAAAAACGTTTCTTGTGGAAAGGAAAGTGGAGGAGGAAAATGAAATATTTCATCTTGTGAGATCCACTTGTTGATATGGTATCCATTGGAAATATCATTTTAAATAAATCTCAACATGTGAGCAAAGTTAACACCTCAGTTTAGCCACAGCATGAGGTTTGTTCATCCTCCATTAAGCCATCTGATAAGGTGTGATGAAGCATATCTTTTTTGCTATGCCAACATTAATTACAGACATCAATTCATTAATATTCACCTCTGCTTCAAGTCGCCCCACCGGTAACTAAGGCCCACCTGTTTCTGTGATGAAGATTGGATCAGGGTTTATGAATATCTCACGGTGAAGACGCAGGTGCTTTTCTTTTGGCAGCAGAGTGAAACAGAACAGACTGTGGTGATTCTGAACGTCCACTCTCATTCAGACGGCCATTTATCACTCAGACTCAGATCTCAAAGTGGAGTGGACCTCTCAGTATCATATGGATATTAGTTAACATGACACTGACTTATTGTTGGTGTGTAAATACATAAGAACTCATTGTATGCTGCACATTTCTAATAATAATAATAATAATAGATTACATTTGTATAGTGCCTTTCAAGGGCCGCTTTACATGGTGAACAAACAAACAAACGAGGCAATTAATAAAGTAAAACTTTAGCCGCTTTCACACCAAGTACTTTGCCGTACTTAGTGCCAGCACTTAGTACCCCCATGGAACTAAGTACAGATCGCGTTCACACCGGAATAAGTCCCTGAGGGAAGATTACGCAAATGAAGCCGCTGACGTCACTTCTTCTTCTTCTGCTTTGGGTTTACTGGCAGGCCTCAAACCACTTCACGGCGTATACTGCCACCCGGAGTCCCCGGCCGGAAGTCCCCGGAGTTGGGGACTGGCTTCAGTAGAAGCTGCTGGGACTCCCAGCAGCTTCTACTGAAGCCTTCCGAGTAAATCGCCAGAACGCTGACAACTCCCCATCTCCACCGCTCCCATCTTTTTTTTTGTGTTGCCATAAGTTAGTCTCTCTGCGTTTCTGCGCTGGGCTAATGCTAATGCTAATAATGCTAATGCGAGGATAACAAAATGGCGGCATCACAAAACTTTTTGGGAGTTTTAGGGGGCGTGGTTTGCAATCCGCCCAGCCAATCAGACATAGGAACCTTTTTTCCCATGGAATACCTGCTCTCTCGCAGGGAAAAGGAAAAGGGGGTAAAAAGGTTCTGAT